ATAAACTACATTTCCAGGATTTGCCCTTGTGAGTGTGTGCTTCATTCTAAGACCCAGCGGTATACCTGACACCCTATCTATCTGACGAGGCTCTGGCAACTGTCATCCATGCCACGGTCATGTCTAGGCTGGACTATTGCAACGCCCTGTATGTTGGCCTTCCGATGTCTACGACCCGAAAGCTCCGTATTGTTCAGAATGCAGCAGCCAGGTTACTCACAAGAACGCCCATGAAATGCCATATAACACCAGTGCTGCAACATTTACATTGGCTTCCAATTGAATACCGTGGCCTGTATAAGATGTTAGTTCTGACCTTTAAAATTCTTTACGGCCAGGGTCCATCGTACCTTAGAGACCGCCTCTCCTTCTCCCATCGTCGGAGGTCACAACGACCAGCCCAATGTGACTTACTCTATATACCGGGACCTAGAGAAGTGCACTTGGAAAGGACCAGGCACAGGGTTTTTTCTATTTCTGCCCCTGCCTTATGGAATTCCTTGCCACCCTATATGAGAGCCATGCGTGACTTAGGGCTTTTTACTCTAGTACTTAAGACCTGGCTTTTTACTAGAGCATTCGATCTCTGTTAATTTTTAATTTCTGTATGTATGTCTTTTATATTTTACAATTTAGCTGCAAATTGCCTAGAGCATTCTCGGATGGAGGGCGATTAATCTATGTATATAATAAAGGTGAAAGTTTGTATGCGGCGGACAAAAGTGTGGCGGTGCGACGGGAGGAGTATGTGCCAGCGTTTTGATTGGCCAGCCTGAAAGTTCCAACATTCTGATTGGCTGCCCCAGTGGTGCTATTTGCATATGGTCTCTGATTGGCCAGCTTCAATAGGAGCCCCTGGTGGAGAAAAGAGTTCATGGCAGAAACAGGGACATGAGAAGGAAATTTGCATATGGTCTCTGATTGGCCAGCCTCAATTCCAAGATTCCGAGATGATAAAGAGAGGAAAGGAAAGGCCGGGGGCTGAGTCAGAACACTCCCAATACAGACCACACTTGGCACACAGAGCCCCCATGACCCACTCGACATCCTACTGCAGTTTGGATTAGGATGAACCATGGATGATGGGACTTGCAGTACCATCACTCACATTCTGAGACCGCTGTTAACCTCATCCAATGACTGATCAGGACCAAACTTGGCACATAGACCTCTCATGACCCACTTTATGTCCTGGTGTGGTTTGGCCGGGGATGGACCATGGATTATGGGACTTGCAGTACCTTTGCTCAATTCTTGAGATCACTGCAACCCTCATGCAATTACCGATAAAGACCAAACTTTGCACACCGAGTCTCCATGACGCACTCTACATCCTGGTGCGGTTTGGGGGAGGATGCACCATGGACGATGGGACTTGCAATACCTGCACTCCCTTCCTGAGACCATTACAACTGCCAACAGTGATGGATCAGGATCACAATTCGCACAGAGAGCCCGCATGACCCACTCTACATCCAGGTGCAGTTTGGAAAAATATGGAAATGGATGATGGGACTTGAAGTCACTTCACTTACTTCCTGAGATCACTGAGACCCTCGCCAATGACGGATCAAGACCAAACTTGGCACACAGAGTTCCCATGACCCACTCTACATCCTGGTGCACATTTGAGGAGGACAGACCATGGATGATGGGACTTCAAGTACCTCCACTCCCTTCCCAAGACTGCTGCAACCCTCATCTAATGTCCAATCAAGACCAAATTTGGCACACAGAGCACCCATGACCCACTCTACATCTCAATACTGTTTGGAGGAGGGTTGATCATGGATGATAGGATTTGCAGTACCTTTACTCACTTACTGAAACTACTGCGACCCTAATCCAATGACTGATAAAGACCAAACTTAGCACACAGAGCCCCCATGACCCACTCTGCATC